AAACACCAACCACTGCTCTGAGATGAGAGTGAAGATGCACACTCCAAGGCCTCAATTTGCAAGATCACATCTCACAAACCAGCAACACTTCTGGAGACATCTCAAGGGTTTTGTTGGTGTCCAAGGATGAGCAACCAAACAAGGAGTTTCCAGAAATGTTGGACATCAAGTTCAGAGATGTCCACCCCTCAAACACCAACCACTGCTCTGAGACGAGAGTGAAGATGCACACTCCAAGGCCTCAATTTGCAAAAGCGCATCTAACAGACCAGCAACACTTCTGGAGACATCTCAAGGGTTTTGTTGGTGTCCAAAGATGAGCAACCAAACAAGGAGTTTCCAGAAATGTTGGACATCAAGTTCAGAGATGTCCACCCCTCAAACGCCAACCACTGCTCTGAGATGAGAGTGAAGATGCACACTCCAAGGCCTCAATTTGCAAAAGCGCATCTCACAGACCAGCAACACTTCTGGAGACATCTCAGGGGTTTTGTTGGTGTCCAAAGATGACCAACCAAACAAGGAGTTTCCAGAAATGTTGGACATCAAGTTCAGAGATGTCCACCCCTCAAACGCCAACCACTGCTCTGAGATGAGAGTGAAGATGCACACTCCAAGGCCTCAATTTGCAAAAGCGCATCTCACAGACCAGCAACACTTCTGGAGACATCTCAGGGGTTTTGTTGGTGTCCAAAGATGAGCAACCAAACAAGGAGTTTCCAGAAATGTTGGACATCAAGTTCAGAGATGTCCACCCCTCAAACGCCAACCACTGCTCTGAGATGAGAGTGAAGATGCACACTCCAAGGCCTCAATTTGCAAAAGCGCATCTCACAGACCAGCAACACTTCTGGAGACATCTCAGGGGTTTTGTTGGGTGTCCAAAGATGAGCAACCAAACAAGGAGTTTCCAGAAACGTTGGACATCAAGTTCAGAGATGTCCCCCCCTCAAACACCAACCGCTGCTCTGAGATCAGAGTGAAGAGAGGGTCCAGGAAGACAGTTACGTCTTGTCTCCTGCATTTTGAAAACATGCAAATGTGAGTAGCCAGTTTTACTTTTAACCGGTCCTACTATTTCTCACCTATGATCCGGCGATTGAAATAATCGGGTAGCATCCGCTCACAGACAGCAACCAAGAGCCAGAAAGCTTCCTCCTCTTTGGCGTACAGCAGGAGAACCGAGGTCAGGATATTCATCGCCTACCAAGGATCAAACATAGAGACTGGCATTACTAGAGAAAGGATATTGTATAGAGCAGGGGTCCCCAAACGACGGCCCGCGGGCCACTTCCGGCCCGCCAAGGGCACTTATCCGGCCCGCGGAGGAGGAGTGCGCCCCCCACACAGTGCCCCTCCCTTGGCTAGCTCACACTATCTGTCAGGCCCGATGGGCAGCGTGAGCCAGCCAAGGGTAGCTGCTCCGCGTGGCCAACTCGTGCATAAAACACCTCGCAAGGTGCTTTACACGCGAGTAGGCCACGGGGCTGCTCCTCCCTTGGCTGGCTCATGCTATCTGTCAGGCCCGATGGGCAGGGTGAGCCAGCCAAGGGCAGCTAACGGCGCTCCATGCAGTCATGCCAGCCACATGACCTTGGAAGTGTCTACGGACAACGCCGGCTCTTCATATTATTATTATTATTATTATTATTATTATTATTATTATTATTATTAAACTTTATTTGTACCCCGCTAGCATCTCCCGAAGGATTCGATGCGGCTTACACAGGCCGAGGCCTCAACACACAACACAACAATACAATCTAAACAAATCAAACAATTAAAAACAGAATAAAGCAAAATAAACAACAGGCACAATACACTAAACACAATAAAACTGGGCCGGGCCAGAGTGGGTACAAAGATTAAAAGTGCTGATGTGACAGGAGGTGTATAAAGGGCTTCTAGGGCAAGTGTGATGTGCGATGTGCAGCAATCATTGGTTCTGATAAAGTGCTTATGGGACTTGGTATTGGAGATTTCCTAATCTGGGAAGGCGCATCGGAAAAGCCAGGTCTTCAAGTTCTTTCTGAAGACAGCCAATGTAGAGGCCTGTCTAAGATCTTTGGGGAGGGTGTTCCAGAGTTGGGGGGCCACCACGGAAAAGGCCCTGTCCCGCGTCCCCACCAAGCGCGCTTAGAAATGCAGATGAGCGCCACACCCCAGAGTCAGAAACGACTGGACTCCATGTCAGAGGAAAACTTTTAACTAGGAAAATTGTGGAAGATCCAGGGTCTGTTGGAGGTAGGTATGAATGTTTCAGTTGGCCACCTTGGTTACCATTTCATAGCCTGACAGTTTTTTAGGGAGAATCCTTTGTTGAGAGGTGATTAGCTGGCCCTGATTGTTTCTTGTCTGGAGTTCCCATGTGTTTGAGTGTTGTTCTTTATTTACAGTTATAATTTTAGAGTTTTTTTAAATACTGGTAGCCAGATTTTGTTCAGACTAGAAATAGGAAGATTTCCCATTCTCTGCTCCTGGAATTACTGCCCAAAGAGGGCGAGTAAGAACCCTTCCACACCGCCAAATAAGATATCTGCAATGTGCAGAGGAATTTTTTTATTGATTTTTTTCTTTAAAAAACTATAGTCCGGCCCTCCAACGGCCTGAGGGACAGTGAACTGGCCCCCGGTTTAAAAAGTTTGAGGACCCCTGGTATAGAGTGTTCGCCTGGTTCAGACACGCATGGGCCCATCAGGTGGACTGATAGTTTGGAGGAAAGATGGGACACAAACTGGAGGAAGACATGGAAGAGGGCAGAGCTAACTGGCTGAAGCAGGCATGGCCCAACTTCGACCCTCCCTCCAGGTGTTTTGGACTTCCCATTAGCACCATGCCTGAATTTACTTGTAAATATTCTTTGCATTGTTTTGGTTCCCATTTCCCAGAATATAGTTCCTTTGGACATTCCCACCACATAGGTGAGTGCCATCCCTTGTTCTTTCTTTCCGCAGTGGCAGCACACTGGGCTTACTCCTTTGATCTCTCTCTCTCTCTCATATATATATATATGTAATGTTTGTTTGTAGGATTAACAGAACTCAAAAATCACTGGGCAAATGGACACCAAATTTGGACACAAGACACCTTTCAGGCCAGCAAGTGACCATCACTCATAAAAACACGGAACAAAAAAACACAGCGAAAGGGACTAAAAACGTCCCCAAAAACCCCTCCAAAATACATTACAACGCATGCACACGCATACACACATATATGCACATACAAACACACATATATGCATACACACACACAGAAAAGGGGGAAGGAGGGAGAGAAGGAGGGGGAGAAGGAGAGGGAAAAGGAGCGAAGGAGAGAAAGAAAGAAGGGTAGAGAAGGAAGGAAGGAGAGAGAAGGAAGGAGAGAAAGACTGAAGGGTAGAGAAGGAAGGAGAGAAAGAGAGAGAGAGAAGGAGAAGGAGGGAGAGAAAGAGGGAAAGAAGGAGGGAAGGAGAGAAAGTAAGAAGGATAGATACATAAGTATATATACACACACAAAACACATATACACAGACTGGGCCACACATTATAATGCATGTGCAAAACCACATATATACACATAAACACAAATATATGCACACACATATACACACAAAACACATATATACAGACTGGGCCACAGCAACGTGTGGCAGGCGCAAAACCACACACACACACACATATATATATGTACACGCAAACACACATATACACAAATATAAATACACAGACAAAGCACATAAACACAGACTGGGCCACAGTAATGCGTGGCAGGGGATGGCTTGTGTGTGTGTGTGTGTGTGTATATATATGCATATATGTGTGTGTGTGTGTGTGCACGTATGTGTGTATCAGGAGTGTGTGTGTGTGTGTGTATGTGTGTTGTGTGCGTGTGTGTCAGGAGCTACTTGAAAAACTGCAAGTTGCTTCTGGTGTGAGAGAATTGGCCGTCTGCAAGGATGTAGCCCAGGGAACGCCTGGATGTTTGATGTTTTTACTATCCTGGTGGGCGGCTCCTCTCAGGTCCCCGCATGGGGAGCTAGAGCTGACAGAGGGAGCTCATCCTACTCTCCCCAGATTCAAACCACTGACCTATTGGTCAGCAGTCCTGTTGGAACAAAGGTCTAACCTGTTAACCCCCTTTTTTTTAATTTTCTCATTCTTTCACCTGGCAATACCCGATCTTGGGGTTCCGGTGGGCGTATGCCGTGAGGACTCTTCTGAGCGCGGAAATGCCCGTGTCGCTCTGGAAAGCCGGGTGTTCGGGCAAGGAGCGGCGCAGGTCCCTCTCGATTTCATCCGTGGCCAAGGTGCACGTCCCCAAGGACCGCTCCACCAGCTCCGTGTAGTAGCCCGGGTTGGTCGCCATGTCGTTCACAGCACCTGCCAACGGGTATATTTCACACTGTTATAGAGTTTGCTGGGAAAGAGACTGAGAAAGCACAGGATTCTGGGAAATGTAGTTTGGGAAAGCAAGGAGCCCTATGAAAGAGAATGCAAAAGGCCCTGCCCTGAACTACATTTCCCTAAATTCTGCTCAGCATCAGGAGAAAGCAGAGTTTGCTGGGAAAGAGACTGAGAAAGAACAGGATTCTGGGAAATGTAATTTGGGAAAGCAAGGAGCCCTATGAAAGAGAATGCAAAAGGCCCTGCCCTGAACTACATTTCTCAGAATTCTGCTCAGCATCAGGAGAAAGCAGAGTTTGCTGGGAAAGAGACTGAGAAAGCACAGGATTCTGGGAAATGTAGTTTGGGAAAGCAAGGAGCCCTATGAAAGAGAATGCAAAAGGCCCTGCCCTGAACTACATTTCCCAGAATTCTGCTCAGCATCAGGAGAAAGCAGAGTTTGCTGGGAAAGAGACTGAGAAAGCATAGGATTATGGGAAATGTAGTTTGGGAAAGCAAGGAGCCCTATGAAAGAGAATGCAAAAGGCCCTGCCCTGAACTACATTTCCCAGAATTCTGCTCAGCATCAGGAGAAAGCAGAGTTTGCTGGGAAAGAGACTGAGAAAGCACAGGATTCTGGGAAATGTAGTTTGGGAAAGCAAGGAGCCCTATGAAAGAGAATGCAAAAGGCCCTACCCTGAACTACATTTCTCAGAATTCTGCTCAGCATCAGGAGAAAGCAGAGTTTGCTGGGAAAGAGACTGAGAAAGCACAGGATTCTGGGAAATGTAGTTTGAGAAAGCAAGGAGCCCTATGAATGAGAATGCAAAAGGCCCTGCCCTGAACTACATTTCCCAGAATTCTGCTCAGCATCAGGAGAAAGCAGAGTTTGCTGGGAAAGAGACTGAGAAAGCATAGGATTATGGGAAATGTAGTTTGGGAAAGCAAGGAGCCCTATGAAAGAGAATGCAAAAGGCCCTGCCCTGAACTACATTTCCCAGAATTCTGCTCAGCATCAGGAGAAAGCAGAGTTTGCTGGGAAAGAGACTGAGAAAGCACAGGATTCTGGGAAATGTAGTTTGGGAAAGCAAGGAGCCCTATGAAAGAGAATGCAAAAGGCCCTGCCCTGAACTACATTTCCCAGAATTCTGCTCAGCATCAGGAGAAAGCAGAGTTTGCTGGGAAAGAGACTGAGAAAGCACAGGATTCTGGGAAATGTAGTTTGGGAAAGCAAGGAGCCCTATGAAAGAGAATGCAAAAGGCCCTGCCCTGAACTACATTTCCCAGAATTCTGCTCAGCATCAGATATTGGGTTGTTAGGTGTCTTGTGTCCAAATTTGGCGGCAATTTGTCCAGTGGTTTTTGAGTTCTGTTAATCCCACAAACAAACATTACATTTTTATGTATACAGACTAGCTGTGCCCGCCACACGTTGCTGAGGCCACCCCTCTCTCCCTCTTTCTCTCCTTTCCCTTCTTTCTTCCCTTACTTCTTCCCTTCTCTCCTTCCTTCTCTCTCTTTCCTTTCCTTTCCCCTTTTTCCTTCTATTTTCTCCTCTTTCTTCATTCTCTACCTCCTTCTTTCCTTCGATTTTTTCCTCTTCTTCTTCTTTCTCTTTCTCTTCTCTACCTCTTTCCTTCTCCTTCGCTTTTTTCTTCCATCCTTCTCACCCTTCTCTCCTCTCCTTTCTTCTTTCCCTCTTTCCTTTGCTCTCTTTCCTTCCTTTCTCTCTTTCCTTCTTTCTTCCCTTTTCTTTTCCTTCCTTCTCTCCTTCCTTCCTTCCTTCTCTCTCTTTCCTTTCCCCCTTTTTCCTCTTTTCCTCTTTTCTTCCTTCTCTACCTCCTTCCTTCCTTGCTTTTTGCTTCCATCCTTCTTCTCTCTTTCTTCTTCTCTACCTCTTTCCTTCCTTCCTTCGCTTTTTCCTTCTCATCCTCTTCTTCTCTTTCCTTCCCTCCCTTTTCTCTCTTTCTTTCCTTTGCTCTCTTTCCTTCCTTCTCTTTCCTTCTTTCCTCCCCTTTTCTTTTCCTTCTGCTTTCTCTCTTTTCTTCCTTCTCTACCTCTTTCCTTCCTTCCTTCTCTCTTTGCTTCCATGCTTCCTTAACCCTTTCCTTCTTTCTTTCCTTCTCTCTTTCTCTCCTTTCTTCCTTCTCTACCTCTTTCCTTCCTTCCTTCTCTCTTTGCTTCCATGCTTCCTTAACCCTTTCCTTCTTTCTTTCCTTCTCTCTTTCTCTCCTTTCTTCCTTCTCTACCTCTTTCCTTCCTTCTCTCTTTGCTTCCATGCTTCCTTAACCCTTTCCTTCTTTCTTTCCTTCTCTCTTTCTCTCCTTTCTTCCTTCTCTACCTCTTCCTTCCTTCCTTCTCTCTTTGCTTCCATGCTTCCTTCTCCCTTTCCTTCTTTCTTTCCCTCCCTCTTTCTCTCCTTTCTTCCTTCTCTACCTCTTTCCTTCCTTCCTTCTCTCTTTGCTTCCATGCTTCCTTCTCCCTTTCCTTCTTTCTTTCCCTCCCTCTTTCTCTCCTTTCTTCCTTCTCTACCTCTTTCCTTCCTTCCTTCTCTCTTTGCTTCCATGCTTCCTTCTCCCTTTCCTTCTTTCTTTCCCTCCCTCTTTCTCTCCTTTCTTCCTTCTCTACCTCTTTCCTTCCTTCTCTCTTTGCTTCCATGCTTCCTTCTCCCTTTCCTTCTTTCTTTCCCTCCCTCTTTCTCTCCTTTCTTCCTTCTCTACCTCTTTCCTTCCTTCCTTCTCTCTTTGCTTCCATGCTTCCTTCTCCCTTTCCTTCTTTGTTCCCCTCCCTCTCTCTCTCTCTCTTTTTCTTTCTTTTCTCCCCTTCCCTCCCTCTTTCTTCCTTTTTTCTGTATTGTCATTTAGCTTTTTGGGGCTTTTTAAGTCTCTTCTGCTGTGTTTTTCACTGTTTTTATGAGTGAAGAACATACATTGGGTTGTTAGGTGTCTTGTGTGCCCAAATTTGGTGTCGATTCCCCCAGTAGTTTTTGAGTTCTGTGAATACCACAAACGAACATTACATTTTTATTTATACAGATGAAACACGTGCATCATTTGAGCATCTTGTGCTTGCGTATTACTTATTAGCACTCCTGCACAGTTTTAACAGGATAGTGAAGCAAATGCAGACGTAACATAGCAAAGACAAGGAATCATCGCGACTTTTTAGGGGAAGAGATTGTACCTGAGAAGAGAAGCCACAGCTCTCCTCTGAGCACCTCAGGGATCCCTCGGACAATCAGGTCCCGGGTTTTCCTCGTCCGGAACATGCTCACTCCGCGGCCGCATTCGACGAAAAGGATGTTCCAGGACTGTTCTTTCATTTTTTCTTTCAACTAGAAAAACAAAGCCCACTAAAACACAATTGCATAATGTCCGATCAGATATAGAATCATAGAATCCAAGAGTTGGAAGAGACCTCCTGGGCCATCCAGTCCAACCCCATTCTGCCAAGAAGCAGGAATATTGCATTCAAATCACCCCTGACAGATGGCCATCCAGCCTCTGTTTAAAAGCTTCCAAAGAAGGAGCCTCCACCACACTCCGGGGCAGAGAGTTCCTCTGCTGAACGGCTCTCACAGTCAGGAGTTCTTCCTCGTGTTCAGATGGAATCTCCTCTCTTGTAGTTTGAAGCCATTGTTCCGCGTCCTAGTCTCCAAGGAAGCAGAAAACAAGCTTGCTCCTCCTCCTCCCTGTGGCTTCCTCTCACATATTTATACATGGCTATCCTATCTCCTCTCAGCCTTCTCTTCTTCAGGCTAAACATGCCCAGCTCCTTAAGCCGCTCCTCATAGGGCTTGTTCTCCAGACCCTTGATCATTTTAGTCGCCCTCCTCTGGACACATTCCAGCTTAGAGTCAAGAATTGTGGTGCCCAGAATTGGACACAATATTCCAGGTGTGGTCTAACCAGGGCGGAATAGAGCATGGGGAGCATGACTTCCCTAGATCTAGACACTAGGCTCCCATTGATGCAGGCCAAAATCCCATTGGCTTTTTTTGCCGCCGCATCACTTTCCTGGCGCATGTTTAACTTGTTGTCCACGAGGACTCCAAGGGCTTTTTCCCACGTCCTGCTCTCGAGCCAGGCCTCATTGTCCCCCATTCTGTATCCTTGCATTTTGGAGTATCTTGCATTTGAAAAGTTAAATAGCCTCTGACTGTCTGTCTATACCTGTTGTGTGTCTTTGGCATTGAATGTTTGCCATATATGTGTGTACATTGTAATCCGCCCCGAGTCCCCTGAGGGGTGAGAAGGGTGGAATAGAAATACTGTCAATAAATTATTATTATTATTGTTATTATTATATAATGATTACACTTTATCTTATCCACATTCCTTTCTCCTTCCTTGCTCCTTTTCTCTCCCTCCTTCCTTCTCACTCTTCCTTCCTTCCTTCCTTCCTTCCTTCCTCTCATCTTGACCTTGAGAAATCCATTTTAGCAACCCTCATCCCAACACTCTTCCTGCTCACCATTTTCGCATCCAGGTTCTCGGCATCCTGAGGGTGGAAGACAGTCATGAGGGCTTCTGTGCTGACCATCTTGCTGTTGCCCTTGAGGCTTGCCATGGGCTGACCCTCATAATCCTCCAAGACGGGATCTGGGTTTGGGCCGATGGAGACCTGCCAGGGGCAATTGCAACAGGAGGTGAGCACAAAAAGCTCTTTTCCAGAATGGGGGAGGAAAAGAAACAATCAAACACGTTCAGACTTTACCTCGACACTCGCAGCATGCTGGGGACTCGCTGCTGCATCGCAGCGGCCCTTCAGCTTTGGCACCAAATGCTCCCAATCCCTCACTTCGGAGAAGCGGAAGGCCCTTTTCCCTCTGGTTGCGATGCTGATCGCTTTGCTGGCCGGGTCAGCAACCTCCACGGCTACAACCTACAGGCAAATGGGGAAGTTAAATCTTATGCAAGGCATTTTTGGCCTACTTACTCTCCCCGGGAGGACACTAGCTTTGGCCACTGACTCTAACAAGCTTTGGCCTACTCACTCTCCTCAGGACGACACTAGCTTTGGCCACTGACTAACAGGCTTTGGCCTACTCACTCTCTCCAGGATGACACTAGCTTTGGCCACTGACTCTAACAAGCTTTGACCTACTCACTCTCCTCAGAACAACACTAGCTTTGGCCACTGACTAACAGGCTTTGGCCTACTCACTCTCTCCAGGATGACACTAGCTTTGGCCACTGACTCTAACAAGCTTTGGCCTACATACTCTCCTCAGGACAACACTAGCTTTGGCCACTGACTAACAGGCTTTGGCCTACTCACTCTCTCCAGGATGACACTAGCTTTGGCCACTGACTCTAACAAGCTTTGCCTACATACTCTCCTCAGGACAACACTAGCTTTGGCCACTGACTAACAAGATTTGACCTACTCACTCTCCTCAGAACAACACTAGCTTTGGCCACTGACTCTAACAAGCTTTGGCCTACATACTCTCCTCAGGACGACACTAGCTTTGGCCACTGACTAACAAGATTTGACCTACTCACTCTCCTCAGAACAACACTAGCTTTGGCCACTGACTCTAACAAGCTTTGGCCTACATACTCTCCTCAGGACAACACTAGCTTTGGCCACTGACTAACAGGCTTTGGCCTACTCACTCTCTCCAGGATGACACTAGCTTTGGCCACTGACTCTAACAAGCTTTGGCCTACATACTCTCCTCAGAACAACACTAGCTTTGGCCACTGACTCTAACAAGCTTTGGCCTACATACTCTCCTCAGGACAACACTAGCTTTGGCCACTGACTAACAAGATTTGACCTACTCACTCTCCTCAGAACAACACTAGCTTTGGACACTGACTCTAACAAGCTTTGGCCTACACACTCTCCTCAGGACAATACTAGCTTTGGCCACTGACTAACAGGCTTTGGGCTACTCACTCTCCTCGGGACGACACTAGCTTTGTCCACTGACTCTAACAAGCTTTGGCCTACATACTTTCCCCAGTATGACACTAGCTTTGGACACTGACTAACAAGCTTTGGCCTACACACTCTCCTCAGCACGACACTAGCTTTGGCGACTGACTCTAACAAACTTTGGCCTACACACTCTCCTCAGAACGACACTAGCTTTGGCCACTGACTCTGACAAGTTTGGACCTACTCACTCTCCTCAGGACGACACTAGCTTTGGCCCACTGACTCTAACAGGCTTCGGCCTACTCACTCTCCCCAGGACAACACTAGCTTTAGCCAGACTCTAACAAGCTTTGGCCTACACACTCTCCCCAGGACGACACTAGCTTTGGCCACTGACTCTTAACAAACTTTGGCCTACATACTCTCCTCAGGACGACACTAGCTTTAGCCACAGACTCAATAAGCTTTGGCCTACACTCTCTCCTCAAAACAACACTAGCTTTGGGCACTGACTCTAATAGGCTTTGGCCTACTCACTCTCCTCAGGACGACACTAGCTTCGGCCAACTGACTCTTAAAAGCTTCGGACTACTCACTCTGCTCAGGACAACACTAGCTTTGGCCCACTGACTCTTACAGACTTTGGCCTACTCCCTCTTCTTAGGACAACACTAGCTTTGGCCACTGACTCACAGGCTTTGGCCTACTCACTCTCAACAGGACGACACTAGTTTTGGTCCACTGACTCTAATAGGCTTTGGTCTACTCACTCTCTTCAGGACGACACTAGCTTTGGCCACTATCAGGCTTCGGCCTACTCACTCTCCTCAGAACAACACTAGTTTTGGTCCACTGACTCTAATAGGCTTCAGCCTACTTGCTCTCAACAGGACGACACTAGCATCAGTCCACTGACTCTAACAGGCTTTGGCCTACACACTCTCCTCAGGACGACACTAGCTTTCACCACTGACTCTAACAAGCTTTGGCCTACACACTCTCCTCAGGACAACACCAGCTTTGGCCACAGACTCACAGGCTTTGGCATACTCACTCTCAACAGGACAACACAAGCTTTGGATCACTGACTCTAACAGGCTTCTACCTACTCGCTTTCAACAGGACAACACAAGCTTTGGATCACTCACACTAACAGGCTTTGGTCCACTCACTCTCTTCAGGACAACATCAGCTTTGGCCCACTGACTCTAACAGGCTTCGGCCTACTCACTCTTTCAGTGTTTTACTCACACTTAATGTTTAATATTTCGGACAAAGAGTTCACTAAAACCGCCTTTAAGTCCCGAAGGAAAAGTGGGTCTTCTGAAGGTCTCACCCCGACTTCAGCTCACCTCTCTGAGGGGGAGGATGACGCAGCACAAGGACCCGTCCTGGCTGGCAAAGCAGACGTAATTTTCCGAAATGCACATTTTCCCGAGAGTATTGTAGTGGCTGAAAGGCACCCATAAGAAACACTCGTGCACCTCTCGCAACGACTCCTCCTTGGGCAAGCGGAAGAAGGCGTTGAATTGCTCGCTGTGAGCTCTGCTCTCAAGGCCCCTGGGCAGCACAACAAAAGGGGCGTTTGTCAGATCAACAGCAACAACATTCTTTTCATCAGAGAAGATAGAGAGATAGATAGACCGTTTAGCAATGTGCCCAGACGAGTGTACCTATTGTCATATGTTCTGCAGTTGATGGAGGTTGGTGATGGAAGGGTTAATGTGAGTATTAGTTCTAGAAGGTTTAGTAATCTGTAAATGGGAGTTCATGGGTGATGTGCCCAGACGAGTGTACCTATTGTCATATGTTCTGCAGTTGATGGAGGTTGGTGATGGAAGGGTTAATGTGAGTATTAGTTCTAGAGGGTTTAGTAATCTGTAAATGGGAGTTCATGGGTGAAAGCAATTAGGGGTGGAGGTGTGTAGGAGATGGGTTGCAGTTGGGTGTTACTGGATTTAAGGAGCTAACCTTGAGACTGATCTTTAGGGAGATAAGTATCTGTTTGCATTTTGGTGGTGGACGCTGCTGGTTTTCCCCCCAGGTTTGTTGGATTTTTGGTATCCTGACCTCTCTCCTGTAATCTTGGAACCCTGCAACCTTGAACCTTTGGACTGGCTTTTGACTACGGTATACTCTTGATCCCTGGACTCTGTTATTGAACTCTCAGCATTTGACCACTGGACTGGACCCTTTTGACTATCAGTTTTTGTATATTCTGTAGCTGAGTGCTATCTTTATGTTTTATATTTTGGTCTATTAAAACAGTTTTGGCTGTTTTATTGGTCTATTAAAACAGTTTTGAAAGCCAAAACCAAGGTTACAACAACATCTGTTATAGAACTCCAGTATGCTGATGACAATGTCGTCTGTGCACATTCAGAAGACCTACAAGCCACTCTAAACACCTTTCGCAGAAGCATACACGAAGCTTGGCCTGTCACTGAACACCGAGAAAACCAAAGTGCTGTTCCAGCAGTCACCAGCCACCCCCTCCTCAATGCCAGAGATACAACTTAATGATGTAACATTAGAAAATGTTGACCATTCCTGCTCCCTTGGCAGCCCCCTCTCCACCAAAGTCAACATCGACACCGAAATACATCGACACCGAAACCACTTGAGCTCTGCAAGTGCAGCATTTTCCCAAATGAAGCAGAGAGTGTTTGAGGACCGGTACATCTGTAGGGATACCAAGGTGCTTATCTATAAAGCTATTGTCCTCCCAACCCTGCTATATGCCTGTGAGACGTGGACTGTCTACAGATGTCACATACAACTCCTAGAACGATTCCATCAACGCTGCCTCTGGAAAATCCTGCAAATCTCTTGGGAAGACAAGCGGACAAACGTCAGCATGCTGGAAGAAGCAAAGACCACCAGCATTGAAGCGATAGTCCTCTGCCATCAACTCTGCTGGACCGGCCATGTTGTCTGGATGCCTGACCACCGTCTCCCAAAGCAGTTGCTCTACTCTGAACTTAAGAACAGAAAATGGAACGTTGGTGGGCAGGAAAAGGGATTTAAGGATGGGCTCAAAGCCAACCTTAAAGACTCCGGCATAGACACTGGGAAGCCCTGGCCCTTGAGCGCTCCAGTTGGAGGTCAGCTGTCACCAGCAGTGCTGCAGAATTCGAGGAGGCACGAGTGAAGGGTGATAGAGAGAAGCGTGCCAGGAGGAAGGTGCGTCAAGCCAACCCCGACCGGGACCGCCTTCCACCTGGAAACCAATGCCTTCACTGTGGGAGAAGATGTGGGTCAAGAAGAGGGCTCCACAGCCACCTACAAACCCACAAAAATAGTCATCAAGGAAGACCATCTTACTCGTCCAACGAGGGATCGCCTAAGTAAAGTAAGTATTTTTGCTATCAGTTTTTGTCTATTCTGTAGCTGAGTGCTATCTTTATGTTTTATATTTTGGTCTATAAAACAGTCAGCAAGTCAGTGCTGTTTTAATCAAACTGTTTGATAAAACTGGGAGTTTGATTCATCTCTACCTAAATAAGGCAGAGCCCTGGCAACGTGACACCTATTATCCATGGGACTAGATTAGGCAGTACCTCTTGGTGATTTGCAAAGGATCGTGGAGGACCGGGTCGCCTTCAAAGGTCTCCTTGTCGAAAAGCCTGCGGACAGCATACAGCGCCAGCTGCTCCATCAGGAGGAACGTTTCGCCGATGTGCAGGAACATGGAAAAGTAGTGATCTTCCCCACGGGAACAGACGTGGATGCTCTCCGTCAGGATCACATTCGACGTTTTTTCGAGTCTGGAGATGTCATCCCAGGATATGACCAGTTTTACTGCAAGGTGGATTAAAAAGATATACTTGAGCGCCTTTTCTTCTTGATCAGCTACTTAAGACGAGAAGTAATTTCCAATACAACCTTCACTGGCATTTTAATATTTTGATAAATATTTTTAATGTTTATGCATACTCATAAACATTATGAGTCCCGGCATTGAATGTTCGCCGTATGTATGCTGTGCTCTGCCCTGAGTCCCTTTCAGGGTGAGAAGGGCAGAATATAAAGGTTTTAAATAAATTAAATAAATAAATATTAAAAATTAACTAACCATTTTTAATTGCAAAAATGTGAGTCAAGCACTGAAAGGGTTAAATGGATGCGATGACTCAGAAAAAGCCATACAAGCAGGTGTGTAGACCTCTGTGTTAGTGGAAGAAAGGTCTCAGTCTGTGAGAAGGCCGATCTGGCCAGGGTGGTCCATGCCTTAGTCACCTCCAGATTGGACTACTGTAATGCACTCTACGTGGGGCTGCCCTTGAAAACGGCCCAGAAATTTCAATTGGATGAACGGGCGGCCGCCAGGTTGTTAACTGGTGCTCCTTACAAGGAGAGGTCAATCCTTCTGTTCAAGGGGCTCCATTGGCTGCCGTTCATTTTCCGGTCCCAATTCAAGGTGCAGGTGCTCACCTACAAAGCCCTGAACGGTTTGGGACTCGCCTACCTGCGTGACCGCATTTCTGTGTACGAACCCACATGACCCCTTCGATCATCTGGAGAGGCCCTGCTTGCGCTCCCACCTCCATTGCAAGCGCGATTGGTGGGGACGAGGGAC